GGGGGGTGTTCCGGTAATTTAATGATCTATTGTATGAACACATACAATCAATTTGATATCAGTATCAATTTAAACAAGTTATTCTCAAAGGAGTTTATCTGCAAGAGTTTCATGCCACTATTCTTGATGTTTCAGATATAAATATTTCAATGGTCATGACTAAACTCAACTAAATATTGTCTAGGGGTATGACATTGACTAACTTTAACAAGTTGAAGTTTTTCTATTGGTTTCTAGGGTTTAGCATCCCATTAAAAGTTAAGCATATTAAGGTCATTCAAGGATGTACCTCCATGTGTGTAATACATGTGCCTGGTAAATGTGTGCTGGAGGCTGGTGTATTTGCCTCTCTGCGATTACCTGATTTTAATCACCATGCAAAGGCACCCAGCACAGTTTTCCAACAGGTCACTGACAACAGGTAAACCAGCCCTAGTACTTACCATATTTGACTGCAAATAAGCCCCAACCCCTAACAATTATTTGTAGTATTTCAAATTGTGTTAATGTTTTGCATCAAGTAAGCTAGTTCGCTTATGTTCAGACACAGAAATTAACATACATCTGTTTGGGAGAGAGACACAATTAGGGAGGGGGCTTAATTGCAGGCACCCACCCTGTTCCAAGGATATTTGCCAAAGTGGGGACGGGGCTTATTTGCGGTTAAATACGGTAGTCCAAATGCCGACCAATAACAACTACCATTTTTAAGGACTTTGGGATGTCCAAGCCAGGGGAACCATTGCCTCCCTCTGATTGGTGAACATTCTCCATAGATGCAAAAAAACAAAGGAGACATTACAAAATACATGTACAAAGCATAGAAATAGCCCCGGTACAAGAAAAGATAAAATATGAAAAGATTAGATCTCAACTGTCCATAATCCCTGTTGGCTGCGAGCTCGAGGCTGGTATGTGATCCGCCTACATGTCTTGTCATTAGTGTATTTTCTTGAGAATTTTTGTTATAAAAAAATAAGTATATCATAGCACAAAGAATTTAGGTAGGGACAATTAGGAATGATCTAATGTAGTTTAAATCCACTTTAGCTACTATCTTAATTGTTAATTGTTTTCTGTGTCATAATAAATTGTTGAACTTTTATTCCGTCAAAGTTGGCATTTTTACCAGTCATCTACATGTATATCTATATTATCTATCAACACTGGAATCTGCAAGCAAAAGTGGCAGTTGAACATTTTGAGAGTGTAACGTCACCCGGTCACCTGTTCAAGTTTGTTACAGTATTACCTACACAGGATTCTAAAGTGTGTTTTAGGTTTGATTGCCTATATATATATACATAGATACTCCTAGGAGTTTTGCTACAGTAACATTCTGGAGTCATTTACCATGGAACAAGCATGAGTGGTTGACATTATATGTTTTAGTGATACATTTATTGGGATGAAAGAAAATATCCCTTTTGCTTTCCTATTGTATCTCTTATCACATTTCTACTGTAATGTTTCAGTATCTGATCATGACTTCCAAACAGTGTAGCATAATTGGAATAGGTCGATTGTCGGTGGCCAGAGATCTCAATTGTTAGAGTGTCAGTCTAGAATTTGGAGGGTCCTAGGTTCGAACCCTGGTCTGACATTTGCACTTCTCTTTCTCCTGTTACACTTATTATCAAGTTAACAATATACTAAGTGTCTTCTATGATGAACACTCTGGCAGTAGAACGTCCTTAAATTACTTTAGCTGTTTATAAGACCTTATCCCTTTAAAACTGAAACAAACAAAACCTGACAGTTAGATGTAATGTGCCACTAGGGGATGCCACTTTAATATTGTACATGCATACAGAAAAGATGGTGCAATGACTGAGCTCTGGCTGTCTGGAGCAGCGTTCCCACTGAATTTTTGACTTCGGGGTACATCTGAAACGTTTTGAAGATTCTGTACCTCTAGGTACTCAGTTACATAGGGCAATTGTTGAAAACTGGGGGTACAACCAACTGGGGTTTTGGGGGGGGGGGGGGAACCCTCATTTAGGGGTTTCTGGAAATACTGTGGAGCATATTACACTTATTTCAGCTTAAACAGGTTATGATTATAAACCTTCCTGATCACAGACAATTCTTTTTCGGATATAGCAGACTTATATTATAGGGATATGAAGCACAATTATTACAGTATCAGGAGGAATATATTGGTGAGAAATTTGTTCTGCCGGGGGGGATGGAATTCTAACGTCATTTTGGACGTATATGTTTTGTTCATATAAAATGTGTTACATATTATGAATCATTATATACTTATGCGAGTAAGGAACAATTTTTGAGTAAAAAAATGTGTCATTAAAGGGAGAAATCACCTTTTAGGAGATCCGCGATTCTCAACAGACGACGTGTTGTTACCGGAAGTTCCTCTGACAGTCAACACAGGAGAGCTCTTCCGGTGAACGGTCTTTTCCGGTAGCCAATACCACATAGGTATGTGCAGAAATAACAACCATCCATAAATCGACTCCAATCCGCAATAAATAAACAAATCGTTAGCCGTTTGACTTTCACAGAGATACATTATGGATTAATACGCTTGTTTACATTAATATTTTAAACCAAGAGGTCGTAGATTGTTTGAAATGATGTTGAACCATATACTATTTGCAACAACTTCGTCCACGAATAAAAACAATTCGGCTTTATAGCCAGTGTTTCTTTAGCATCTAAACTTACGTTATTGATATATTCGAGACACAATAATAAAGTTGTTATGTCGTCGAATATGGGCAATGTTCAAAGTTATGACGACCTCCACAAAATAACTGTTTTGATCAGGGGAACGGCGTATTTACCGTCTCTTTTCACGTTTTTCTGTTTAAGTATGGATATTTTCCATCCTTCAGAGCTTTCTGAAGCATGTACGTTTGCATTTGATTTTACAATGATTTGTTTTGTGAGGCAGATCTTATTATAATGAGGAATTTTGTGCAATATATTGTAAATTACTAACGGTAAATAGTGAAACAAAAACCTCGCGTAAATGTGATTTTCTTGTGCACAAGTACGTAACCAGTGCCCCCCCCCCACCGTCCCACAACTTCCATTATTTAAAAACTGCTGAGAAAAGTTGTCTTTTTGTAGTCCAGATTTATTTCCATTCAAAATCACAAACAGCTCTTATCAATGATCGCATAGTTGTGGTAGAAATATGATTTTAAATTAAGTTTATATTTAATTTCAGCAAGCATGAAGATCGTGCAGAGCAACCAGCTTGTGAAGATTCAACCAGGGCGTATGTAATATTCATGTCTTTCACTTTTTAGTCCTATCAATATCTAAGCAGATCTGAATATATTATAAGACTTACTGAATGACTAACCCAGACATTTCGGACATTTCCTACGATGAGATATTCGCAATGATACACAGTTTTCAAATGTACTCCCTGTGAAAGTTTGCACCAAATGATCAATATTATTTAATTACTGACTGTACACAGGATAATTTATATATAACTTGTGTTGGCCACTTCATTGTCATTTTCAGTAGTGATTAGACCCTTGCAACATTTGATTTTTTACTTTTATTTAAATTGACTCTGTAATAATTAACCATCAAATTACAATTCATTTTTGATTTTTTTTGTCAAGTAATTGAACAAACCATATTGCCCCAACAGACTAATCTGTTACATCAATTAGACATAATAAATATGCTAGACAGGGTAATTGATTTACGTTTTTTCCTTCTCCAGTCACTGGCTCGGTGAAAGCCCGCAAAGTTATAATCACAGGACCCAGGGGCACTCTTACGAGAAGCTTCCGTCATTTGGCTGTTGACATTAGCATGATCGGCAAAAATACTATCAAAGTTGAGAAGTGGTACGGCAAGCACAAGGAATTGGCTGCCGTCAGGACAGTGTGCAGCCACATCGAAAACATGATGAAGGGTGTCACCAAGGTAAAGTCAGTGATAATTTTGAAAGTGAATTTAGGGCCAGTGTAAGGGACCTTCCTCAGGTTGGGAACTCCCTGGACTATCAGAGGTGGTCTCAAAAGCTGAGATGCACCCAGTTTACAGAGATAAAACTTTTTATCTGTTTTGATCATAGTCATATAAAATATGGCCATGCCAAATTTATTTGTACAGGTTCAGTACACTCTGCCGATTGAGCTATATAGCTGTGAAGACCTATAATAGCTCTATTGACCTATCTGAAATAGGTCTTTTGAGCTATTTTCAAGCGATTTTCTATTTTTAAGGAAAACAAAAACAAAGTCGCTTTTAAAAGAAGATTGTATCATTAGGTCAATAACAAAAGACATTAAATATAAGTATTCTTTTTAAAAAATAATAATGTAAAAAAATCGGGAAATTTTACATTTATGAAAAATGAAAATAAACATCTAACTGTATGCTTTTTGTAGTCGCCATTACCAAAAACATTATTGTTTTATGCGACTTTGCTTTAATTTAATGAAAATTGAAATCAGAAAATATAGCTCAATACAGCTATAATTTATAGGTGTATATAGCTATATAGGTCTTTATAGCTATATAGCTCAATCGGCAGAGAGTACTGGACCTGTTGTAGTTCGTTTGAATTCCTGCATCTAAAATATTACCCCCCCTCCCCCTTCCAATTTTATCTTAAATCCTGCACACACAAAAAATGTTAGAATGTCACTAAATTAGGACTTCTCTGCGCTTTCTCACTCCTAATATTACTGTGTTGAGCGTTTACGTGACTGAATGTCCAAAACGCACGACAGCCTCATGCATGGGGAGAAACATTAACAACATCTACATCGTTTCCGTGAGAAATGGACCAAGTTCCTAATGAAAAGGACAGCCATCTGTTAAAGTTAAATCATTCATAGATCTTTAAGCAGAATCACTGAGTTGCACAAAAAAGTCATGACATTGTCAGAATTTCGATGTTAGTTGGCGAAAGACGATGGTACCGGTTTACGAATAGCCGTTGAACAATTGTCATTAGACATCTGTGAGAAATTCAGTTGTGAATTCGTCCAATACAATGTCCAACATGATGCTGAATATTTATGTACGTTTATAGGTCAGGTAACTATCCCAAGCTTGCTGGACAGGAACAACTTTTAAATGACATTTGGACCAGGTTAGCTTAACCCTTAGGCTGCTACGCACGACAATAGTCGTTTTGAAAAGTCGGGCCGTCAGTGCTACGCACGACAATAGTCGTTTTTCGGTCTGTAGGCTTTGATCGGTAGCCAGGAAGTGCGAAGTCAGGTTGTTGCTATACCAGACCCGAACGCGTATAGTAGAAGTGTTCTGATTGGTTGTTTTATCATTACTTTCGATATTCACGGCAGTGTACCCTAGTAATAACCAAAGGTGTGCGAGAGAATTTCAAATCGAAAAAAAAGTTATAAAAATGGCGGACGTGTAGATTGAACCGATGAATATGATGGTAAACATTTATTCTCCATCGTCACCTACAATGATAATAAAGGTTTTGAAGGGTTTGGCATGGTTGATGTGGAAGAACTTCGGTGTTACATAATATGTACCTTTCCAGTGAACGGCTTTGTGCTCTACGCAAACAGGAAAATATCGGCGGACCAAGGCGCACATGTCGTCTGTAGGTGAGGCCGAATTAAACATTGACATTGATACGTTTTGACATTTGTGTTACATTTATTTCTTCAAACTTTTTATCGGTGATTTAATCATAAACTAGACTGTAGCTAAGATATATCTATATGCCGACTGTGACAGTAAATTTATTGAATGGTGACCGGAAACCTGTAGCAAATCACATGCAGTTCTTGACGAAATACCTGACCTTTTTACCTGAGAATCTCCGTGTAAATGTACAGCGTCTTATGTCAAAATGAAGTTTATAATCTCTGTTATCATTTGCCAATCACATTTACAGACGAAAATAATTTTAAAATGATCTTCGTCTTGCTTAAATCCGATTAATTAAAAGTTTCACATTTTCCTACCTTTATTACCACCTGTACAGGTAAATACTGAAGCAACTTTAGAATCGAAAACGTTAATATAAACTAGAGACAATAACGAACAGTTTTCCTATAACTTAATTTTTCAAATGCGCATAACTTAAAAAATTATTTTTTATAAGTGAATAACACTTATAAAAAAAAATTGTCAAGTTGTGTGCATTTGAAAAATTCAGTAAATTAATTCATATTTCAATAATTAATTCAGCAGTGGCGTCCCTTTACATAGAAATCAATGTAGCAGCCTAAGGGTTAACATCATGTTGAATAGTATTGCACTTCAAAAAATATTAAATATCCGTAACGGTTGGAGGCCGAGAAAGTATGGCTACTGAAATTCAAACATGGCTACTGATTTTTTTTGGTCCAGGGTGAGCCCTTATTTATAGAGATAATTTGTATAGTCTGCAGATTTTCATCCCCAAAGCTACATTCATAACAGTAGTGCAGCTCCATTGGTAAAATGAGTTTCTTTGTATCTGCAATTATAAAGACAACATTGAGGTGATGGAAGTCCCAACCACTCAATCGCTTTGTGCGAATATGCAGTCCCCACCGTACAATTTTACAACTTTGCATCCAATGTCACTAGCGTACACAGTCGTAAGTTACAAAGTGTCCACCCGGCACAAATATCAATCTAGGTCACATCTTCAAAATGCATATTTCTACTTGTTTAAGGGACATTTTGAAACCAGTTTAGATTATTATTAATCTTTAAAGGCTTTTTAACCTATAACATGGTAGATACAACTCGGAATTAATTTTTGAACCAGTTTTTTGAGTGAATTCAAACGTCTCGACTGCCACCTTGCAAACACTGTACTTTAATATAGATGTTTTTCTGGAATGGAATTTTGGCATTTCATAGCACTCTGATCTGTTATCTTTTGCTTCAGTACATCAACTGATCGCTAAAAAGTTTTCAAGTAGAAAAACCCCCAACATGTTCAGTGTTCCCGATCACGCAGAATCCTGCGTGATTCACGCGTAGTAAACACATTTGCACACGTAAATTCATCATACTTAGCGTGAGTGTACGCACAATAATTTTGTACAATGTTAAGTCATTTTTATAGCATGTCTGTATTTTAAATGATGATATTCAGAAAATTGAAAGCGACTGTCAGAATTTCCCGTGAATGACGGAAGTCCGGTAGTAAACAATGCATGCAGCGCACCAAGCGACAAATATAATTACTACGGGAGGTACTGTCCTACGATAAAACCTGAGTGCGTAGCCGGACTATCGGTATCCTCGGGGATGATTATCACTATAGTATACTGCGTAATTGATTATGAATGACGGGGGGGGAAAAACAGCAGACGCTATTTGGATTTCTGTCGTCGACTAAAGACAACAACTTTCAATTCATATTCTTACATAATGACTGTCTGTGCCCAGTGTGGGTAAGTTACATGATCTCTGTTTCAGTAATACGCGCCATTTTTTAAAAACGTAATCAAAACACTGACATTTGAGTTTGAATTACGTTTTCTGGTGCAATTTGAACTTAGAAAGAAATCATCTGTAGAAATAAACTGGTGCATGGCTAAGAATACATCATTGTTATAAATGATTTTTTGGCACATTTATTGAAGTATAAGTATTTTTGCCAAAAGTGATCCAATTTGGGTACTGATCCGATTTAAAGGTACTGCCTCCTTACACAATTTTCATTCTGTTACTGACTAATTCTTGGTGTTTTTATTCTATGACAAACTGGAAATAATATGAATTTTGTGATGATATTACATACTCATGGGGATTTTTATAAGGTGTACCCCTAATATATGCAGCCATAGCCCCATTTTGAGAGGTATGGGGGTACAAAAAAAACCAATTACAAAAGTGACAGGGAACACTGATGTTCCGAGAAATCACCTTCTACTTGTTTTGGCAGCAGCCATCTTTTAAACCGTCCCAACTTTTTTCAATGTACAGGCTACACTAGGTGGTTTAGGGAGTTCCCAACCTGTTCCTGTGGAGAATTTCTGCTGTATTTTCTCGGTTAACAAAGTTAAAGAGCATTACAACAAACTGAAGTCCACAGTTCGAATCTCAGTCTTACCCCACTGAATTTTTACACATTTGGAACAGTGTTGCTGTGTTTTTTTGTTTGTATCATTTTTATTGTTTTTTCATAAAAGTTCCACAAGGTATGGTTTTCTTTTCAGAAATGATTTATCAGAATTATATTCAAGCTGGAAAAAACAGTTTCTAATGCGTAGTTAAAGCTTTTGGCAGTGATACGGAATCCTTAATTGTCTAATTTTATCTACCTGTAATTGCAGGGTTACCTGTACAAAATGAGGTCTGTGTACGCTCATTTCCCCATCAATGTCGCAATCATGGACGGTGGACACGCAGTGGAGGTGAGGAACTTCTTGGGTGAGAAGTTCACTCGTAAAGTCAACATGCTGCCAGGAGTGACATTTTCCACCTCCCCTTCCATGAAGGACGAGTTCTTCCTCCAGGGAAATGACATTGAGGCGGTGTCAAGATCAGGTGTGTGATCTACAGCAGAATCTAATCTGTCTATAAAACTTGCTTAACTTTAAGCATTAATATATGTGTTAATTTAAGAAGGTTAATAAGACTTTAAGGTCGATGAAAATAACTGAAACTCCAGTTTAAACATAAAATATGAATAGATAAAAGATTTACTTCCTTATTGAATGATTGAATGTACAAGTTAACTACAGAAGGACATCGTTTTTGCCTGAAAAATGTCGCTGTTTTTCAAAAGGAAGTTACATTGGTGTGACTAAAAACCTGACAAATCCGTACCCAGATTTCAGGAATTAAAGAATAAAAAAAAGGAGAAGATAAATACATCTATCAATGCTATTAGATAGTAAATAATTTTGATTATAATAATTGCAAATAGGGAAAGAAAATGACTAAAATATTTCGTGAAAAAAAAATCTATTGTTTAGAAAAAAAATGCATTTCCTGTCAACACGGGTATAAAATATGCATTTTACATAGGGCAAATAGAAAATATTTTTTGGCAAGTGGATTTCTAAGGTCTACTTGCCAGGGGCAATCAGTTTCATGAATGTATTTAGTTACATGTTACATGCTGAAAAATTAGGGTAGCCCCCCTATAATTGGTCATTAGTTACCAATAACCATCCGATGATCAATTAATAATCGTTTTGTAGAAATACATAGTGAAATCCTCCATGCTGTTGTTGCGAATCACTTGGCCAAATAAAAAAGTGATACCATGTAATTATAATTTTTAAGAAATACCTCTCTTCAAACACTGAATCTGTAATATATAGTCCTAGTTAGCAGCCATGAGCTAAAAGTAAGTCATGCAGTGATGATGTCAACAATTTTACATAGTAGCTGGGAAAAATGTCTAATGAAAACTCAATAATATCTACATTAGAATTCTGACTAAAATCGATCATAGATTTTGTTCTCGATTAATCAGTTTGTTAGCCTAACTGATGGATGCTCGACTTTGTCGATTAATCGGAACACCGCTAGCGGGAAGAATCTATATAGTTTGTCAGGGAAACCTTCCATCTTTCTCTTGATATGATTTATCATTACCCCGTTGCCTTAGAATAATCCTAATGCTGAAGTCCTTACTAAATCCGTGTTGAATTTCTCACTTGATCCATTTAGTTTTAGTAAAGAATCGCTGTTGCAAACGTTGTTGAAGGACTAGAAATTAATTTTGAATACAACTAGGATAGTAATTGGGTTAGTTATAGTAGTTTTCAATTTTGATTAGTCCACATGCAAATTCCACTAACCTAATATTGTTCAACAAAATATCAAATTTTGACTAGTCAGTAGGGCGAGTGGTTTTTAGAACCACTAGTCCAGATTTCACTAGTCTCGGACTGTCAGGCTCTTGTTTTATCCTGTGTTATCAAGATATTTTTATTTCCAGCTGCCCTGGTTCAACAGTCCACTTCAGTGAAAGACAAGGACATTAGGAAATTCTTGGACGGAATCTACGTGTCTGAGAAGACCAATGTGGTGACAGAATAAAGGGACTCTACAGATCGCTAAATTAAAAAAAATAATGTAGTTATGATTTCTGTTGTTATTCCACTGAACTAACAATCAATCTGTCCAAGAGACCACCCATTTTTCAAAAGCAGTTTATATTAAATACTTTGTTGAGATATCAAGACCACTTTTGAGCATTCCTTTGGGTGGTCCCTTCATACAGATTCGACTGAAATCTAACCTGAAACACAAGCAAAATTGATGAATTTGAATTTAGTTCAACCAATTGAGAACTTACCAAGTCATTCAACCACCTGCCCTGTCCAGGTATATATTGACAGTAGAATCTTACCACCAGGTATATATAGACAGTGGAACCTTACCATTAGGTATATATAGACAATAGAACCTTACCACCAGGTATAGACTAGAACCTTGACACCAGGTACCTGTATATATAGGCAGTATAACCTCACCACCAGATATATATAGACAGTAGAACCTCACCACCAGGTATATATAGACAGTAGAACCCCACCAGCAGGTGTATGTAGACCGGAGAACCATACCAACAGGTATATATAGACTGTAGAACCTCACCATCAGGTGTATATAGATGGTAGAACCTCACCACCAGGTGTATAAAGACAGTAGAACCTCACTAACAGGTGTATATAGACAGTAGAACCTCGTCACCAGGGATTTATTGACTGTATAACCTCACCACCAGGTATAGTAGACAGTAGAACCTTGCTACCAGGTTTATACAGACAGTAGAACCTTACCACCAGGTATATATAGACAGTATAACCTCACCACCAGGTATATATAGACAGTATAACCTTACCACCAGGTATAATAGACAGAAGAACCTCACCACCAGGTATATATAGACAGTAGAACCTCACCACCAGGTATATATAGACCATAGAACCTTACCACCAGGTATAGTAGACAGTAAAACCTTACCACCAGGTTTATACAGACAGTAGAACCTTACCACCAGGTATATATAGACCGTATAACCTCACCTACAGGTGTATATAGACAGTAAAACCTCGCCATTAGGTATATATAGACAATAGAACCTTACCACCAGGTATATATAGACAGAAGAACCTCACCACCAGTTATATATAGACAGTATAACCTCACCAGCAGGTGTATATAGACAGTAGAACCTCACTAACAGGTGTATATAGACCGTAGAACCTCACCACCAGGGATATATTGACGGTATAACCTCACCACCAGGTAAAGTAGACAGTAGAACCTTACCACCAGGTTTATCCAGACAGTAGAACCTCACCACCAGGTATATATAGACAGTAGAACCTTACCACCAGTTATATATATATATAGACAGTAGAACCTCACCACCAGGTATATTTAGACAGTATAACCTCACCACCAGGTATATATAGACAAGAACCTCACCACCAGTTATATATAGACAGTATAACCTCGCCACCAGGTATATATAGAGAGTAGAACCTTACCACCAGGTATATATAGAGAGTAGAACCTACCACCAGGTATATACAGACGGTATAACCTCTCGACCACCAGGTATATACAGACAGTAGAACCTCACCACCAGGTATATATAGACTGCAGAACCTTACCACCAGTTATATATAGACGGTATAACCTCACCACCAGGTATATACAGACGGTATAACCTCGCCACCAGGTATATACAGACAGTATAGCCTCGCCACCAGGTATATATAGACAGTAGAACCTCACCACCAGTTATTAGCTCACCTGGCACGAAGTGCCAAGTGAGCTTATGCCGTGGTGCGGCGTCCGTCCGTCCGTCCGTCCGTCATCCGTCCGGCGTCAATATTTTACTTTAAACGACTTCTTCTTAATAACTGAAAGGCCTAGGGTGATGATATTTGGCCAGAAGCAAACTGGGATGAAGGGCTACCAAGTTTGTTCAAATAAATGACCTTCATCTATTTTCAAGGTCACAGGGGTCAAATATGTTAAAAACTTTAAACAACTTCTTCTCAATAACCAAACTGCCCAGGGAGATGATATTTGGTCAGTAGCATGCTAGGGTGAAGGGCTACCAAGTTTGTTCAAATGAATGACCTTCAATTATATTCAAGGTCACAGGGGTCAATTGTCTTAAAAAACCTTTAAATAACTTCTTCTGAATAACCAAAATGCCCAGGGTGATGATATTTGGCCAGTAGCATGCTGAGATGAAGGGCTACAAAGTTTGTTCAAATGAATGACCTTCACCCATATTCAAGGTCACAGGGGTCAAATATGTTAAAAACTTTAAACAACTTCTTCTCAATAATCAAAATGCCCAGGGTAATGATATTTGGCCAGTAGCATGCTGAGATGAAGGGCTACAAAGTTTGTTCAAATAAATGACCTCACCCATATTCAAGGTCACAGGGGTCAAATATAATAATTCTTCTGAATAACCAAAATGCCCTGGGTGATGATATTTTGTCAGTAGCATACTAGGATCAATGGCTACCAAGTTTGTTTAAATGTATGACCATGAATCATATTAAGGTCACAAGGAGCAAATATGTTTAAAATATTTCAACAACTTGTTCTGAATAACCAAAAGGCTCAGGATGTTGATATTTAGTTAGTAGCATATGCTGGGATCAAGGACTACTATGTTTGTTAAAGTGAATGACTTTGACTTATATTCAAGGTCACAGGGGTCAAATTTGTTTAAAATCTTTAAACAACCTCTTATGAATAACCATGGGTCCCAGGATGTTTATACTTTGCAAGTTTCATCCTGAGATGAAAGGCTATACAATGTGATCAACATAATGGCTTTGTTCGACTTTCAATCACAGGGGTGAATGTTTTAAAAAAAAAATAACGGTCTTTTGAACGAATTTTAATCATAAATACTGATATTTTGCCTGTAGCTTTATTTTAGATCACTTTTAAGGTTACAAGTGTGAGATTTATACCAGGTGAGCGATGCAGGCCCATTGGGCCTCTTGTATACAGACAGTATAACCTCTCCACCAGGTATATACAGACAGTATAACCTCACCACCAGGTGTATACAAACAACATCACCTTACCACCAGGTATATACAGACAGTATAACCTTACCACCAGTTATATATAGACAGTATAACCTCACCACCAGGTATATACAGACAGTATAGCCTCGCCACCAGGTATATATAGACAGTAGAACCTTACCACCAGGTATATACAGACAGTATAACCTCACCACCAGGTGTATGCAAACAACATCACCTTACCACCAGGTATATACAGACAGTATAACCTTACCACCAGGTATAAATAGACAGTAAAACATCACCACCAGATATATATAAACAGTAGAACCTTACCACCAGGTTTATACAGACAGTAGAACCTCACCACCAGGAATAATAGATAGTAGAACCTCACCACCAGGTATATATAGACAGTAGAACCTCACCACCAGGTATATTTAGACAGTATAACCTCACCACCAGGTATATATAAACAGTAGAACCTCATCACCTGGTACATACAGTATAACCTTACCACCAGGTATAAATAGACAGTAAAACATCACCCCCAGATATATATAGACAGAAGAACCTTACCATCAGGTATATACAAACGGTATAACCTCACCACCAGGTATAAATAGACAGTAAAACATCACCACCAGATATATATAAACAGTAGAACCTTACCACCAGGTTTATACAGACAGTAGAACCTCACCACCAGGTATAATAGATAGTAGAACCTCACCACCAGGTATATATAGACAGTAGAACCTCACCACCAGGTATATTTAGACAGTATAACCTCACCACCAGGTATATATAGACAGAAGTATAACCTCTCGACCACCAGGTATATACAGACAGTAGAACCTCACCACCCGGTATATATAGACTGCAGAACCTTACCACCAGTTATATATAGACAGTATAACCTCACCACCAGGTATATACACCAGGTATATTTAGACAGTATAACCTCACCACCAGGTATATATAAACAGTAGAACCTCATCACCTGGTACATACAGTATAACCTTACCACCAGGTATAAATAGACAGTAAACCATCACCACCAGATATATATAGACAGAAGAACCTTACCATCAGGTATATACAAACGGTATAACCTCACCACCAGGTATAAATAGACAGTAAAACATCACCACCAGATATATATAAACAGTAGAACCTTACCACCAGGTTTATACAGACAGTAGAACCTCACCACCAGGTATATATAGACAGAAGAACCTCACCACCAGGTATATATAGACAGTAGAACCTCACCACCAGGTATATTTAGACAGTATAACCTCACCACCAGGTATATATAAACAGTAGAACCTCATCACCTGGTACATACAGTATAACCTTACCACCAGGTATAAATAGACAGTAAAACATCACCCCCAGATATATATAGACAGAAGAACCTTACCATCAGGTATATACAAACGGTATAACCTCACCACCAGGTATAAATAGACAGTAAAACATCACCACCAGATATATATAGACAGTAGAACCTTACCACCAGGTATATACAGACAGTAGAACCTTACCACCAGGTACAAACAGACTGTAGAACCTCACCACCAGGTATATATATAGACAGTATAACCTCGCCACCAGGTGTATATAGAGAGTAGAACCTTACCACCAGGTATATATAGAGAGTAGAACCTTACCACCAGGTATATACAGACGGTATAACCTCATGACCCCCAGGTATATACAGACAGGATAACCTTACCACCAGGTATATATAGACAGTAGACCCTTACCACCAGGTATATACAGACAGTATAACCTTACCACCAGTTATATATAGACAGTATAACCTCACCACCAGGTATATACAGACAGTATAGCCTCGCCACCAGGTATATATAGACAGTAGAACCTTACCAGGTATATATAGACAGTATAACCTCACCACCAGGTATATACAGACGGTATAACCTCGCCACCAGGTATATACAGACAGTATAGCCTTGCCACCAGGTATATATAGACAGTATAACCTCACCACCAGGTATATACAGACAGTATAACCTTACCACCAGGTATAAA